AAATGGCATATTTGAAGCCACATGAAATGAAATCATATGAAGTGCAAGGTACTGCACATAGGGACCAATACAAGCTTCTTTCATGTAGTCAGGGCTCGTTATTTGGCAGTATAGCCACTGTGTGGTCAGCTATAAACCGATTCGGCTCTGCAGGTAAAAAAAAAAAGGGGAGTGGGGCAAAAAGAGCAAAGGCACATCAAGATTTTTTTTTCAACAGCAATAGGGAAATATGAACATTGTTGCACATGAGCAACAACTTGTCTGGAATACCACACACAACCCTGAATTCCTGTTTTCAAGAAAAAGTTGTTCTAATTACAAGAACTACAGAAAGGAGCTACTAATATGACTGAAGAGTCTGTTGTTTAAAAGAAAAATCAGTCTTGCTTACTCAGCTTAGCAAAATAAAACTGGAACAAAGATAAATATAACGATTCATTAAGAGGATAAACATCAAAGAGGGAGAAGCATGCCAACATTATTCCTCAGTTTAAGTCCAGCAAATTAACATAAACTAAAAAAAGAATAAAATTTATACTACTATTCCAGAATCCAAGTTTGGTTCCAAATATAGACCAAAACTAATATTCTATTGCCAAAGGGAAAAGATGCAGAAAGCCTACCTGCTGTTACGAAAAAGACATCATACATTCTATTACACGATGCATTCGACATGTAAGCAAGTGATACAGTTTGTTTTCACTCAGTTTCTATTCTAACAACATGTCATTTCCCATAAAAGAAAAAAAAAAAGATAATCATGAATACTATTAGGAGTATGGATTTACTCCTGACAAAATAATGACAGCAGAGAGCACAGAAAAATCAGAGTCAATGCAACAAAAGAGTAGAGAAGGAAAGAAAAATAAGAAACCTGGGAAATCTGAAAAAAACTAAAAAAGCACTAACAACCCATTAGCCTCTATTGGTTCCTCTTCTGGATCAAGAAGTATTCAGTGTGTCATGACACTTTATGAAGATTAGACACTGCAGTTCAAAACTATTATTTTGTGAAAAGCATCTTCTTCCCAACAACTACACTCAAGTTACCTGAGACACTGTTAACATGGTCTTGTGCAAGCCACAGCCTATTTTTTCAGTCAAATTTCTTACTGGTTCTTAAGTTTACAGAAAAATAAATGGGCACAGCAGAAGAAATATACTGAAAAATTGGCACAGAAAACATGCAATATTTAATTTATTTTTGATAGAAATCTTGATTTGTTATTTAACGTCCCCCAAAACCAGAAAAAAAAAAAATGCGCATAGAAAAGAAATTAGTTAGATGAAGGATATAAAACTCTCTGCCACACACAAGTTATCACTTGTGTGTAGAGTAAAAGGAATGTGGAGGGAAATTTTCTGTACAAAAATATTTTTTTTAAATGACAACTGCATGCCCTTAAGTATTAAATAATAGGTTAGAAACAGGAAAGTCAAGTGACCTGCTTTGTTCTCTTACCAGAAATTCTTTTCTGACAGAGTATTTTCCAATGCACTATTTATTGCAAAACATGTCAGTATATTTTCCTTCTGTATAATGAAAATAATATAAATTACAACATTTGCCAAGACAACATGAAGAAAGAGACTCTGTGAGATTTCTGAAGATGCCTGGTAACTATCTATACTTTTAATTACTTTTCCACTTTTTATAGGTGCCCCTGTCTGACATCACCAAGACTACACCAATGCAGCAGTAGCGAAGTGAACAATCCAAGCTTTCTGAACGCTCAAACATTTCCCTTTTTTATTATATATTTCTGACCTGGCTATTTCAGACTCGTGAAAAAAAACGCTAATTTTTGTTGAAGTACATTCAAGATTCCATTTCCCCTTCAAGAAGCTTATGTGGCATTACCAGTTAGGTAGCTCAGCTCCCTGCCTTTAGTCTCAAAAAAAGCACATGTATTCGGTATTATTGTTCTCCTGCCTTGCCTCCTTTAAAAAAAAAGAAGAAAAACAGATAAGCAAAACCTGCATTCATTAAGACAAATATTACATAAAAAATTTTAATCAATGAGGGAGAATACAACACAACTAAAACCAGCGAATTTGGTACAGAGACTTTCCAACCAGTCTAAAAAGGAAGCTCTTGCTGCAGAAAACACAAAATTCTTGTTAGGTATTAGAGAACTGAAAATTTTCATAAGTTGCTAGCATATTCACACCTATGAGGTAGAATACAGCAAAGTATCATAAAACACGGTAACTAACCTACACAAGGCAAGTGTTCTTGTTAGCTTACTTAACTTATTCTCCTCCTTACAACTCTTAAGAAGAAATACTATGGTATAGTGAGTCTTCTCTTGAGCATCAAATGCAAGAAAAAAAACGAGGCATGTCCATGACCCACCCAGCTCACTCCAAAGCTGCGTGCTCCTTTCCCAAGCTTCCCAGAATTTCTATAATACCATTTCCTCATGTATCTTCTATGTCGATGAGACCGGAATAGACTTGAGGGACACATGCTAATTTAACTGAACACATGCAACCACTGTATGCATTCCAGAACCCTACTTTATTCTGGTTAGCACAAGAAAATTACATCTATGCAAACATTTCAAGGACTCGGATTCTTTGATCCCACAGAAAACTCTTTAAAAACTCAAATTCTGATCTAAGGAAACTCAAATGGCTTCCAACTGATCAGCAGCACAATGCACACACGGCTTTTGTATGCGTTGGCTAGTGACAATTCTGTATTCTACGCTATCAACTTTTGGAAAATGCGGGGCAAATAACACAAATGCCTTCACAATTCCTAGGTTAGTTTAGAAGCCAATCGTGACACTCTCTGGAAGTCATTTGTATATTAGTATGAGTTCATCAGTAAACAAAGGCTGTTGTGTGCTACATCAGTAGCCTCCTACTGTTTAATCCTAAACTCTAGGCCTGTTCTTAATCCTATATACTAACTTGTTTAAAAATACCACTCTTTAATTATTTTTTGATACATACTGAACAATGAATACTAAATTGATGTAAATAAGGATTGAAGCATATTTAGAAAAAAGACTAAGGAAAACTGGTATGGTGTGATTTCCAGATCAGCCGAATCACGATTCCATACTCATGGGCACTAAAATTCAAATATTCAGCGACAAACTGAAGTGTGACAGGAAGGTGCACTGCAGGTGAATGCTAGTTAAGATAAACAGGAGATGAGGTAGGATACCATGCGTGGAGTATCAAAGACCTCACACAAGATGTTCTTTTTCTGTCTACGCAAACTTTCCTTTTCAGTAATTTCCAAGACATTAAAAAAAAAAAAAAGTGTGTTATTGTTGTCTTCCTAACATACAGTAAAAGCCCTGTACTATACATCTCTTGCCCTTAGGGGAAAAAAAGCTGCTAGCATATTCCAAAATTATATAGGGCATGGATTTCTGCCCTCTCTGTATAAGCATTCATCAAAAACTACTATTACGCAAACTAACCCATAATGAAGATAGTTAAATTCTGAACTTTTGTAGGTGCAAGACAACTTGTAAAAATACATCAAAATTACTTTACTTTAATCTGACAGCACCCATACTTTTATGACAAAACTTTAGGGTTTCTTGTAATATACACTGAAAACTGCAAAAACATGGTAAAACATCTGAAGCTAAATATACTTTTGAAAAGTATTTATTGGTCCACACACAAAGCGTAAGGGACAGAAGCCTGAACACAAAGGTATCAGAAAAAGAAATACAAGGTTGAGAGACAGAAGAAGGTACCTCAGAGAATCAGCTGGATCTCCTCCCCGTACCAATATTAAGTCTTCATGAAGATTTAAGACAACACGAAACTAGCTAAATCTGTTCATCATCCATTCTAGTATATTAAAAAAAAAAAAAAATCACAAAGGACTTCTCTCTCATACAACAAGAAAAAAAATTAAATGCTGCAAGTTGCTACAGATTATCTTAAAGCTCTCAATGTTAACGGGAAACATTAGCAAAAATTTTATTGACGTAACTCAAGCACATGGAAAGGCTGATCTCAAGACGTAAGGTGGGCGCTACATGTGCGAAGATGGTAGTCAATGTATCACAGAAAACTTAACACTTATTCCTTTTCTAAGTAACCCTTTAGCTAATAAACATTATTTCTCCCCTAACAATATTTTTATTTGTCCTTAGTATAGCACGTGTGGGATTATTAAGATATAAGGGCACACAGTGCTTCTCAGCCCAAAGGTCTCTTGCTTGTCTATGTTTTTCTGGCTTTCTTCAGAAAAGAATTTTTGCAAGTGATCTTCAGCAAACCAAGTAAACATCCCACAACTATCTACATCTCCCTACAGTGCCAGGCTTAACTCACAATCTACAGCATTAAACATCTTTAATAAAGTTCCTGCATACGGTATTACACATTGTAAGATTAATCTGGCCCTCAAAGTTAACTGCTTAACACCCCCTTTCCTGTTCACACACGTATCTGAAGTCATCAATAACTTACCAATGCTCAGGCCCCCTTCTATTAAAGCAGAATCTCCCTCTGAGGAACACATGGCACTCAAAAGCTTACTTTCCTTACTACATGTACGCGTGTCACCCTTTTCCGCCAACCCTGCTTTGCTTAAGTTCGTCGACCGTGACAGCTACCGCACTTCAACCAGCACTTCTCACCTTGGTTTAACAACCCCTGGGGGCGCATCCTAAATTCTTTCGGCCTTAGTTTTTCCCCTCTCTCTAGGGCCTGTCGTGGGAAGAGGGTGGACGTCGTTTGTGGCGGAAAAAGTTTAAGAGCGATATTTAATTAAAAAGCCGTTTCGGAAAGCCCCTTTCCCGGCGGCGCCTGGATGTCACGGAGGCCGCTTCGCTCCCGCACGCCCAGGAACGAAACGCGCCCCTCGCCACC